TGTTATTCTTATTTTTTCATGCATCATTTCCCTGATTTCAGTTAGTTTTCTGTGTTCTCTCTAAATTTGTTGAGCTTCCTTATGATGATTGTTTTGAATTATTTGTCAGGTAATTCACAGATCTCTGTTTGATTTGGATTATTGTTCAAGATTTGTTATTTTTCTTTGTACATGTTTCCCAGTAGGTTGTTTTGTTTTGTTTTTGCCTTGTTATTTTTGCTGAGATTTGGGCCTTTGAAAATAAGATGGACAGATCTCCTAATCTGTATGGACTAGCTGTGTACAGGGGAAGACCTCCGTCAGTCAGCCCAGCTAGAGATCTGGTGATGCCTCAAACCTTTTCTGGGGATGTGTCTTCGGGCTTGTGCATGTAATTTCCAAATTAGGGAGGTGTGCGGGTTTCTTTACTAGGAGTTTTTGATCTTTTGCTCCCTCTGGTGTCTATCTGCAGTACTGCAGGTTCTCTGGTACTTCAACAAGCCACCAAACTCTCCTCTTCTTAGCAGCCTCCAAGCATCCAAAGTATGCCAGGTCCTCTCCAGCACTGAGTCTAGTGAGATACAACCAGTCCCTAGGGCAGTTCCCTGAAAAACTAGAAAATTAGATGCATGTTCTGCTCTTCCCTTTCCCTCGTTAGGGAGAAGCTAAGAATATGGTGTTTTCTCTCAGTTGTGCTGAGCTGTGCCAGCTTGGAGGAAGGGCTGTCACAGGCAGAATCAGTGGCTTTTCTTACGCATTTCAGTGACGTTGCTCTTGGCTTTGTGCTGGGGTACTGCAACTTCTTAACTGGTCTGGAGACCTCATGGATGCCTTTTGGAGTGTATACTGCTGTTAAGTTGATGCCTCTGTGAGGGAACAAGGGTTGGGACTCATTCTGCCATCCTGCTGACATCACGGTGGCCTTCACGTCTTTAGTGGGAGTCTGCCGTGACCTTAGCTCAGCTTCTCTCTGGGGCCTAGCAACCCCACACAGGGCGCTCTCCCAGAAGATCACATTCCTCTGTAAAGGACAAGTCGGCGTTAGGGCGAGAGCCGAGCCTGCAGTCACTGTCTGGCAGGGGAGCATGAGGAAGGCTCCCTGTGGCCCCTCTTTCCTGAAGACGGTTCTGTAGTGCGTGCACTTTGGAGCTGACGCCCTGGCCCACCCTTTCCTTTTGTGGGGTTGAACATGACATTGGCCCCTCTCTGAGGCTCCTTTGGGAGGTCCTTCCTTTATCTCGGGAAACTTGAGCTGCACTTTGTGCTCCACCAGAAGTTCTGGCAAATTCTCTTGTTTTCCAGTCTCATTTTTGTAAAATTCTCACCCAAGGATATTTTTCCATTTATCATCAGATAGAGTAGGAGGGAGGGGGAGAGAGAGAGGGAGAAAGAGAAACATCTATGTGAGAGAGACTCATCGGCTGGTTGCCTCCTGCACGACCCCAGCCAGGGCCGGGGACGAACCACAACCAAGGTACATGCACTTGACCGGAATCGAACCCAAGACTCATTGGTCCATAGGCCGACGCGCTAACCGCTGAGCCAAACTGGCCAGGGCGGTCTCAGTTTTTTTTAGAATAGATACTTCTGTCATTTCAGGGGACCCTGGGGAGGTGGGAGAAGTAGATGTGCATTCTACCATCTTCACATGAAAACTTCTGAGTTTTAAGAGACTAATTCCATATATTTTTTCCAATCTTGGCTCCATTAACCATTTCTTATTAATGGGTCTTTGGCATGTAATGTGACTGGTAGTCAGCAGAGGATACTTTTTGAAGGCGTTTCTTTTACCCAGTGGTGGCTGGCTCTGAATGGGAAGAGGTGCCACGGCAGACATACACTGCAGAAATCAAATCAGCTCTGCAGAATTTCAAGAATTCAGCTCGTATTTGCATTTGCTATTTCAGAAGGGAAGGTTGGGGACACACTGCTCTAAACACAGCTGCTACTGTCGATCACATGAGTTTCCTAGTCTTTGTAAAATAAAATGGTTGTGCTCACTCTCTGTGCACCTGGCACGAGACTCCCGAGAGGGTGACAGCCCTGCAGTGACCACAGGTGAGGGACACGCTGCTGGCAGTGGGCCGGGCACTTCCGAGTGCCATCTCCTCTGCTCCTTTCTTCCTCCCGCCCAAACCAGACACCCTGTGATCACTACTCGAAGCGTATTGTTATGGAGAGCCAGCTCCTTTGTATTATCAGTTTTAAAATACTGCCCATCTCCCCCTCCCCAGTGTTTCTGTTCTCCTTTACTTTGTTTAGGGTATAATTGAGTTTCGCTTTAAAAGAAGATTGTTAGTGAAGAATCACAACCGTGGCCCAGAAATTGTCTTCTCTTTTCATAGACAGACGATGAGAAGCCCACCCAACTATACATTTTCAGTATGTTTTTCTACAAGTCTGCACAGAGTCGTATTTCATCTTAGGTTTTCTTTTATTTATGAAAACAAGCTAAAATGCTTTTTATAATTTTTATCTCAGTTCAGTTAGCATAAAGCAGTTTCCAGCCTTAGAACAGATTTGCTGTATGCAAAATATACACAAGATTTTGTGAATTAATCTTTTGAAACTTGGTGGGTGTCTAAATTATCCTTTCCTGACCGTTGAGACAATGTTGGCTCTTTTCTGCTCCTCACCCCACTTCCTCGGAGCGGGTACCCTGCTGCCAAACCTGCCCTGGTACCTCGCCACCCCTCCCAAGTACGCCAAGTTGTTGGGCTGGGGCAGGGCTGGGCAGGAAGCAGTTACTACCACCAGCTTATACATTAATTGACAGGTATCTGTGAACCAGGGTGCTCCTTAACCCTCCCCGGGGTGTTTTCATTTTTAAAAAGGTGTGTTTAAACCTCATAAACCTGTAAGGTTGGTGGAACTTCTGTGTGTGTAGCCAATTGTGTGTGCGGGGCAGGGGAGGGTCGGGTCATTGTTGTGACAGCAGATTAGGGAGGTGAGGATGTGGGGAAGGGGGCCACATCTAAGCAGCCTGGCCCTTCGTACGTGCTCTCTATGGATGAGACAAAGTGATCGCCAGACTCTGCGAGTCACAGGTTGTCTGGTTTTAGTCTGCGTACCGGGCACATGACATTGGTGACTGGGTGGGTGGGTTAAGAGCCGGACAGGGCACATGTCAGTCATTTGTGGCATGAGAAATCCCTGTGTTCTTTTCCACATAAATGTTTTTTCCCATGTAAAAGTCACACATGTCCACTAAAGACTAAAGATAAAGAGATCGCCCATAGCACCACCATCCAAAGAAACCACTGTGAAGAGCTGACACGTACGAGCACCTTCCATCCAAGGGAGGACCTCAGCAGGGTCTTTTTCCTCATGAATTTCCGCCAAAACTCCAAGGAAGAGAAAACGGGGACAGATTTGTGAGGAAAGATGGAAAAAGGCCCGTGACTGGGTCATGGTGGGGCTCTGGCAACTTGAGGACACACAGTTTCTGGAAAATATGGAAGATTTCTTTTCATACACTAACTTGTTTATTTCCACTGCAGCGGTTAAGTGAAATGGTATCTCAGTATTCTGGTGGAATGTAGTAATGGCACAGCCTAGCTTTTCCTGCATTATTCATTCATTCTTTGTAGACTACATTTAGGTTCCTGTTCGTTCAGTTCATTTAGTTCAGAATCAGAATGTACGATGCCATGTGATCCGAGCTGTGTTACCTACTGTTTTCCCGTGATAGACCCCAATCAGGGTCTCCCAGTGACCTCTCCCGTCATGGCAGCCACATTGCTGTGAGTGCTGCCCACCCCTGGTCCTCCGGGTCTCTTGCTGATACCAGGCAATGCTGGGACTGCCCTGGGTTCTGCCAATTTTCAAGTCTTTGGATTGAATTATTGCTTGTTTTGGTATCATGCTGACTTCCTTCATTACTGCATGCAGCCCCCAGGAGATATCCACGTGTTATTTATCCTTCATCCTCCTTTCGAAAATACCACAGTAAAAAATTCATTGAATTTTTTCAGCTGTCCTTTTTGTTGTTAGTAATTCAATGCAACATTTCTTAGAGGCTGTTTCATCTCCTTCGCCGATATTTCTTGGTGCCTTTTAATTATTTCTTACCTTTAAAATTATTTCATAGCTTTTAATATTTAATAACTCATGCTATCATCAAAGAGGCAACTTTTGTTTCTTGATCGTTCAGATTTCTGTAGGTGTTGATCCTGGGTCACAAAAGGACGCTGGAGTTGGAGACCCAAAAGTGAGTTCAGGTTGGGCATCTAGGGACAGGCTGACCAATGGAAACCATCTGTTAGCTTATTTCTGTTCTGCAGAGACAGAAGCATGATTACAACCCTCATATTGTTATGTCATAGCCTCTTGGTGATGCTGAGACAGAAGGGAAATCACATAGATAAGTTGTACGCTGGCCATGTTATAAGGGGTACACTCTGTATTATAAAGGATGCACTCTCCATTCCTGTGTACCTGCCCTGTCGTCTTTGGAGTCAGAAGCATAAGTGGTATATCACCGTCAGTCACCTCATCAATATCTATCGGTTATTACTTTATGAAAGAAACTATATAAGGCACTATCGAGGATGCAGAGGATTCAGGGCACCTGATGTTTCTGACACATATACGTCTCATGTAAGGTGACCTGAGGCCCAGCACAGGGAGGATGTCGCTGAGTAAAGAATGAAGTGGCTGCAAATGTTGTGTGCTAAGATGCATTGGTTATTAAGACACACAGAGAAAAAAACATTTAGTGGAAGACTTTCCAGAATAATCTTTGTTTTTCTCTATAAAACAGTGAGGGTGGCCTAAGGTATCAATTTAAGGGTGTAACTGATTTTAAAAGAATAAAGCAAAGTCAGTAATTATTGAATGGGCCACAGTGGGGTAGATTAACTATAACTCATGGGCCTGGTTGATCTTTGATGTATTACAAGCCAGTAATTAGAAACTGCCCAAGATTAATGAGAAGGATCGCGGATTGCTTAGCTACTAATTTGTTTCCTTGCCCATGCGGTTGAATGTGGACGTCAACACGTACTCTCTCTTGCTTTCAGCATGCGCTCCTGGCTTTAAAGTTTATACTTGCCTTCGCCATCCCTGACAAGCCGCGGCACATCCAGATGAAACTGGCCAGGCTGGAATTTGAGTCTTTGGAGGCGCTGAAGCAGCAGGTAAGGGCAGCTGTCCTGAAAACAAACGTCTTTTCTCCGGCACAGGCCAGGAGACATGGTTCCGAGGACTCGCTCTCAGCATGTCCCTCCGCCTCCACCTGAGCTAGTTAATACACAGAGACTCCAGTTTACAATGGCGTGACAAAACCCAAATCCTAATAATGAGCAGCAAGTAAGTTGAGTGAACTAAATAAACTAAGCAAAGCAAAACTATCCGAGCAATGTTAAATAAAGAATAGAGCTGGCATTCATCAAAGGCAGCGAGTTCCAAGAATCACCCGGGGCGCCCCCCACGGTTTCTGAATCCGCCTTCTCCAGAAACCTGCAGCAAGGCTTTGAGTACACAGAATCCTGAATATCTGCAGAGAGAGAACAAGAAAGTGTGGGCAGAAACAGCAAAAAGCGCCACAAAAGTGGAAACCTCTTCCCAGGACTTCCACATTTTACTAGAGACCAAAGAAATAAAAGAGAGAATAAAACTACGAGGCTGGAATCGAGCCGTCCTCCCTCGCGGCGGCGGTTCGGGTCATTCCTCACCTCCCCTGATGCCGTTGTCAGACCCACCGGCGCGGCCGCTCGGTGCACCCGGGCAGCCGGAGTGAGGAGGCGAGGACAGCGCTGCGGGCTGCCAGGTGGGCGCCCGTCCAGTGTTCGGGTCATTCCTCACCTCCCGAGGCCGTTGTCAGACCCACCGGCGCGGCCTGCTCGGTGCACCCGGGCAGCCGGAGTGAGGAGGCGAGGACAGTGCTGCGGGCTGTCAGGTGGGCGCCCGTCCAGTGTTCGGGTCATTCCTCACCTCCCCTGATGCCGTTGTCAGACCCACCGGCGCGGCCTGCTCGGTGCACCCGGGCAGCCGGAGTGAGGAGGCGAGGACAGTGCTGCAGGCTGCCAGGTGGGCGCCCGTCCAGTGTTCGGAGTATTCGTTCAGCTCTCATCTAGAGGAGAGGCTGAGACCACATGGGCGGGGGTGAAGTGGATGAACCCCGAGGGGTGGGCAGAGCACGGCCCCGCCACACAGCAGCGCTCCCTCGACTTTGCGGGGAGCACGTGGGCCTCGACATTCAGATCCTCCACTTACGTGGGTCCTCCTTCCGAAAACATAATCACCTGAGGATGCCCACGCGTCCTGACTCCTCCCGCTGTCCATCCTTCTGTCCTTCCACAGTTGTCCTCCTCCCGCCTTGCAGGAGGAGGTGCGTGTCTCATCATCCCGAACCGACCATGTGCCTTGTTCCCCGAGCGAAAACCTCCCAGGTGACAGAGAGCCTTTCAAAACAGGTGGCAAGTGCACCCCAATCTCCCGCCCACTAAAACCAAATCACCTCCTTAAGAGATGCATCTCTAAAAGGTATCCAGAAACCTGTGTCCAATAATTGTTTATCAAAATGTGTATTACATTATATAATTTTAGTCAATTATGCAGCAGTAATATTATAATGACCAGTCAGTGCAGAAGGAAATTTTAAACACTTATAGTACAGGACATTTTTCAAACTCTTAAATTTTCATTTATGAACATATTATACATCCAAGCAAAAAAAAAAAAAAATTGGTAGGATACATTTCTTTGGAAGAAGTGGAAAGAAACTGATGTCAAAGAGAAAAAAAAAGAAAGACATAAAGTTGTTACTATTAAGAGCATATTCGTGTATTTTTAACATGTGTGATGGTGGATATCACATTAGTATGGCACTTATTAGACTTGGATATCTTTAAAAGAGTGATCTCATTTATTTTTAAGTGCCATTATTTACAGTATGGTAGAACATACATTTTGCAACTGTTTAATTATTGATAAAAATCCTCGAGGTCAACTTGAAATGTGTGGGAAGATGCACAGCCTCCAGAAGCGTTAGGGCATGTGAGCAGACGAGGTACAGCTGTAAGCCTCGTCCTTGTCCGCTGACTGCAGTCCTAGTGGGTTTCAGAGGCTGGGGCTGGCGCCCTGCTGGCTGGCACGTGCACCTTACTCCAGGTCGAGGCCCGGTCTGCTGGCGTCCATGAAGCTGTCCTCTCGCTCAGGACTTCACGCCGTCGTGTTTGTCTGAAGCAGAGGGTCTTTGCCGATGTTGGACGTTATTAACATGTCTCATGGCACTAACTGTGTCTACCTGAGGGTACTGTGGAGCTGTCACGTTTGCTTGGGGGGCTCCCAGACATTAGTGTTTATGATGAATTTGGCTACCTGACTCCCGAGGCATCTGCTCCCAGATGTCCGTCTCTTCAGAGATGCCCTGTCTCACCGCGAAGCAAAGCCCTAATTCAAAGACAAGATTTAATCACACTCGTCTCATTGAGGAGTGAAACACTAACCAAAATTCTGTCTCCTGTTATTTAAAAAGAAGAAAAAAAATCTAAAAGATTTTAAGCCCCTCTGGGCTTCTTTCCCCCGAGGATGTAGATGTGATTCTCTGATTTAGCATCACCTTCTAAGAAACACGTGGTTTTGGTGCTGCTTTTGCTGTGACGGTTCAGGAGGGACAGAGCTGTCTGAAAGGTTCTGACTCAGCACATTCATCAGACGCTTCAGTCAGGGTGCCCCTCGCTGGTGCTGAAGGTGATTTAAATCAGAGTGCGTGTGGCTCAGATGTCTCCGTCTATCACGGGGGCAGGAGTCAGGGTTTCTCAGGATCTTGACTGCAAACCAGGGAGAAGTGTTCCTCCCTCCACAGCGTCTTGTTGAAATGAGTAAACCTGGGCCGAGATCTGTCGTGCCCTCTCTTTGTGGTGGCCGGTCCTGCTGTGTGGGCCCAAGTGTATGAGATGGAGGTTGTCAGCACTTTCCACAGTCCCCAGGTCCCAAAAAGTCCAGCCAGTCCTAGCTATGAGAAGTCACCTGCTTTGTGCTTTTTAGAAACAAATTAACTGGCGTGTCTTCAGTTTACTTGCTGAACTATTGACATTTCTAGGTTATAGGATTTTTCTTATTTTTCTTTAATCTGACATTTAACTATCTGCTTTGTAAATAAGCAGAGCCTTGACTCACTGGGCTGTTCCCGTGTATCCAAGGCAGAGAGGGCGTCTGCCCTGTCCTCTGGTCAGTTGGTGGGCCCCAGATTGAAAACGGAGTTATTGAAAACATAATTACAATATCTCATTAACACCGAGCCTATCTCCAGAATTACTATTAAGTGACCAGAAATTGACAGTAAGCTTGTCAGTAGAAATCATTACATATGATTAGTTATTATATTGTATTTAATTTATATTTGAATTGCTACTTTTCAATTCAGTTCCCATTTTGTGGACAAAACACAATTGAGAAATGTAAGTCATCAGTGTTCTTTTTTTTTTTTTTTGTATTTATCCTCACCCGAGGACATTTTTCCATTTTTTGTTCAGGTAGAGTGGGAGGGAGAGAGAGGAAGGGAGAGAGAGAGAAACATCGATGTGAAAGGGACACATCGAGTGTCTGCCACCCGCATGACCAACCAGGGCCGGGGACAAACTGCTACCGAAGTACACACCCTTAGTGGGAACCTTCTCTGGACGCAGGCGATTCTCTAACCACGGAGCCAACCAGCCAGGGCAAGTCATCAGTGTTCTTAAATGGGGCTATGCACCTTGAATGTAGAATTTTTGCCCAGCCCCCAGCACAGATAGGTCCCGGACTGCTCAGGTGAGCGCAGACCAGAAGAGTCCTGGGCCACGTGTGAACGAGTCGGGCCGCCTCTTGGCAGGCCAGTTTTTGTCTCATTAAAAAAGGTGGGACTCCGTGGTCTGTGGGAAGGCTCCGACGACACATTCACGCCCAGAACTGCTGTGGCTCTAGCGCAGGACCCGAGCCCACTTGGAGAGCGCTGTGCAGGTCCCAGCTCTCAGCCGGGTGGCGGGCGAGTGCGCAGTGCAAGCGCCCTCTGCAGTGTCAGGCGGGAACTGCAGCGTGTCTGGATACAGGCGCGATAGATGCACTCGGATGAGAGTAGACTGAGCGAAATAAAACTGCTTTGCAAAGGGCATTTTCAAATGATCGGGCTTCCGTTGGTGAGACCTTTACAAAGAATTCTGGACAGTAAATATCATCCTAGTGATGCCCTTTTATTTCTTTTCAGATTGATTTAGTCAACGCTCAGTAATTTTCAGATCCAATTAAAAGCGGAGAGGAGTCTCCGGGTGGGTGGCCTGGAGCACAGGGACACAACGTCCTGCCTGGGAACAGGCCTGGGCAGCCAGCCCTCCTGGAGCCACACCCACAGAAGCAGAGCTGGGTCCAAACGAGCCTTTGAGAAAGATAACAGCCTAGGAAATCCATTGAAAGAACTAGATAAGGGCTTTAAGAAGATACCACAATGCTAATTATAGCCCTCAGTGCCTCAGATCAGATGTGGGACCCTTGACAGGGCAGGCCGCAGGCCAGCCTGCATCCTCATGCCTTTGTTTTCTGTGGCTAAGTCCATTCACACCATTTCCAGCAGTTCCCAAGAGCCTCTGGGCTTCCCCCTGGTCCCCGCCGTGCAGTTGTAGTAGATAAATATGCACTTTCAGTGGGAACTGATGCTATGGGACATGCAATCACATGTGGTCCGTCAGCACGACCCTCAGAATGAAATGCACCAGCTAAAGAACTGGCCACCACGGAAGCCAGGGGCAGGGAGTGCAGAGCCCTGGTGCTTGGGGACGAGGGGTCCATTTCTCGGGGCCCATTTGTCAGGGCCCAGCCTAGGAACTCGAGGCAAAGAGAAACCAAAGTTTAGTGTTTCGGGAATTCGGGTGGCCCTCTGAGCTGGCCTGTGACTTCTTCCTGTGTCAGACGGTTTGTCTCACCTTCAGGGCGAGTGACTTGACCTGTCTTTGTCGTAGTCCCCCCAATCCTGAAACAAATCCAAGGGAAATGGTGCCACCATGTAAGGTGGGGTGAGGCTGGAGGGCGACCCTGTGAATAAGGCAGAGGGAAGCAGGGCGGTGGGGGTGGGGCCCGCGGTGATGGTGAGGAGGACCTCATGCTCGGGTGCCCTGCGCAACTGGGCAGACCAGGAAGGCATTCTGGGATAAAAGGCACCCTAAGAGGATGAGTCACAATTCCACCTTTGTGGCAGCCCCACCTGTTTTTCTGACATGACCACAGCTGTGCAGTAATAATGACAGGGTGGTAGCAGCTGGCATGGGTGGTCACGTGAGCCAGGCGCTGTCCTAAGCCTTCTGCGTGAGCCATGGCTCCTCAGAACAGGTCTTGGGGTATGATTTATCTACAATTCACAGATGTTGACTTTCTTCAAAGGCGATTCATGCTGTAACAAATATGGCTCCTGGCGCCTCTTCAGCCCCCTCTCCTGTCACATTTTTCTATTCCTGTGGGGTCCCGCAGGATTGCACTGCTCATGGATTCCCAAGCACCCCTGCTACTTTGGGACTCTGCCGTCAGCCTCGCAGACCCCCCCCCCCCCCAGGGGAAGCCTTCCCTTCCCTGTGGGACCCAGGGACCTGTTGCCCATCCTGTGCATTCATCTCACTGCACGTGGCCAGGTGGGGAAAGTCCCCATCCCCCCTGTTGCTCATGGGGGTGGAATTCTTGCAACATTCCAAGAAACAGAATTTTCTAAAACTTGCTTGGGAGAACAAGTGATTTTTGTTTCTGTGCAGTTACACCCCTGAGTTTTCAAGGTCCCATTTCCCCTTGTCTCGCCAAGGAAGAAGTAGAGTTGTGGCTTCAGTAGGGCTAGAATCAGAGTCGGTGTCCAGAGTTTCATGTTGGGACAGTCCAGTCCAGCTTGTGTCCCTCACTGCAATCCCCAGTCCTTTGCGTGTGCGGTCCACAGGGCCACGTGGCCATGGAGAAAACATAGGCGAATGCAAGGAAGCAGGAGCTAGAGAGCCCCACGAGCCAAGAGCAAGAAATACCTTTGCTCAGGGGATTCTGTATTCCCAAATTTCTGTGGGCTTTCAGTGACTATGCCCATTCTGGTCCTCACCCGCTTGTTCCCAGGTGTGACTGACAGGCACTTTCCCAAGTCACCCCAATTTCATGGCACATGCATCTATCTCCCCTTTGTTGGACCCCTTCCCCAGTGATTCAGGAAGAATGGGCTGGTGGTTCCCTGGGGAGAGTGAAATTGCAGCTTCCTGGTGAAGCTGCCAAATGACATCCCTATAATGTCTAGCCTTCTCTTTGCTCCTCTTCTATTATTAATAACTAGATCATTACAATGGTATCAAATTCCTACTCTTGTGTCCCCTCACCCAGCACAGGGCCTGATGCCCAGTAGAATCTGAATAAATCTCTACTTAATCAAACTGAATTTGTTGATGCATACCTAGTTGAGAAGCTAATAAATTAAGTAAATGAGAAATGATGTCCTTGGACAAAAAAAGAGAAATCTTAAAATAGATACTGTGGCAAAAAATGGAAACAGTTAGGTCATATGCCTCTCTGGGATCGCTAGGGAAGAGAACGTATTCCGAGAGATTGCGTGTGAGCACTTCATGAGGACCCCATGCCAGCCTTGGCAAAGCTCACATCCCATTTTATTTCCAGAATAAAATGGCTGTGGTTGACATTAGTAACCAGGGTGACTCCCCAAAGATTGTAAAACAATCCCAAATCAAGCCAGATAAATTCTAAAGTAGTTCATTTGCACAAATTCAGACCCTGGAATAATTCTTTCCTTACCATTGATAGATAGACATTTTCCCCCAGCATGAGGAAAAAACTCTTTAAAGTACACAGAGGCATACAGACATTAAAATAAGATGCTTCACTAACATTGTAGAAAGCTTCTGATCATTTTTGTCTTCACTAGTAAATTTCTACATGAATTGCTACATATTTCCCTGGTTTTCTAAGAAAAATTGAAAATGTATATATCTTAATTATTCTCCCAGATGTAAGAAACATGGCGAAATCAGAACCAGATTTATTTTTACTTGTAGAAATGACTAAACAGGCCATGGAATTTAGCATTTACCCAGTCCCCGTGTGATTGGACCAGGGACCATGCTGGCAGAGGGTCCTGGCAGCACAGATCCATTCCCTGCGGACGCCCAGGCTGGCCGTGCTGTGCTTTGGACCATGTTCCCGTATGTCATTAACAAGGGTCTGTATTCGTAAAGAAAAATCCACCCTATAATAAATCCTAGAGATTTCAGAATGCTTAAATTATATTAAAAAAAATAGATATATTTTGGAAGATAATTAGAAGTTTTAATCTAACAGTACCAATCTCAGATTCTATTCTAGATGAATAATTCCATGGTTTTGAGAGTAATGATTCCATTGCTTGAGGGGCAACAGGTGTGAGAGTAGGTCTTCCTTTTCCAGGTAAATGCCTAGAAGGTTATATATGCATCTATTTACTTGTTGTTTTTACCAAGTGTTCTAGGATATTAAAAGGCTATGCTGTTGGTTTCATCAAGGTCAAAGATATTTGTTTGTGACCGCCAGACCAGAAGCTTTCTAGGGACAGGATTACTCCAGACAGAGAATTTATATTTGTTGAATGAATGAGTCAGTTATTAAAGGAACATCACCAAGGTCAAAGCTCCATACTTTTGTGCTTTTTTCTATTACGAAATTATAATCCTTTGACTGTGAAGTTGTCTTCTATGTGTAAATTTGGGATTCAGGAAATCATTATTGAGTACTTACTGTACCAAACACCACAGACTTTATTTTTAACTTTTTTTTAAATTACTAGTAAACTGCTAAGATATAAAATCTTTTACTTAATGTAATGAACAGTATTATTTTCCATTGATTTATAATCCTAAAGATATGATTGAATTTTATGTCATGCAAGAAATATAAACTTAAGATATTGGGAAGAAAATATAGTGATTGATAGACCAAGAAACTTAGACTTTAAAGTAAATCCCTAAGAGCAGGACATTTAGTGATTTGCCTCTGTCTCTTAAGAACAGAATTCAGAAAACAAGAAATGTTTGGGTTTAAGAACTTTTTGAAATACTACCTAATTAAAGGAAAATAATCACTTTGCATTAACAATGGCGCTAAGAACACAAATAGTAAATCATACTGAATTCATACATAAAGCAAAATTAAAATATAGATATTAAAATTCAGCAACAAACATTAATTGAGTACATTCTGTGATCAGAGCAGAAAAATATAAACTATCAGAAATTCCCTGCATTGTGTATTTGTTAAATGTTAGAGGTGAAAAAACCCTTGATCCTGTTCCAAACCCTGATTTAATAGATTAAGGAAAGAGTAGGTAACTGTGATTGTCTCTTTCCAAGACGGTCCCCAGTGTCCCTGCCTCGTATTTACACCCTGTGGATTACCATCCCCCCTTCCGTCTTGGTTGGTCTCCCCAAGAATACCAGACAAACGTTGATGTCTCCTCTGAGGCTAGGTCATAAAAACATGACGGTTTCTGCCTTCTTCTCCCTCTGGCAACACTCGCTCTTGGGAAGACTGCTGCCGTGTTGTGAGGACACTCAGTGCTGGAGGAGACATCAAGAGAACATGACCTCTGAGCGGAGCCCGGGTGACAGAAGCTCCTCGTTCCTGCCCCTGTCCTTGCGTCGGATGTTCTGCCCACTGTTCCCACAGTGGAAGCTGTTTCAAGGACGCAGCCTTGAGAGAGTAATGTGGCGTTGAGACCATCTGGACTGTGTACAGGACTGAACCCTGTTAAGGCCTCTATATAAACTTTTAGGCCCTGGTGGGCCAGTACAAGAGCTCCTTGTCTTTGTAGCCTCCCAGACAAGCCTCTTACGTAAGTCCCCCTGCCACCCACCCACCTAGAATGGTCTGCCTTTGTGTATGGGGTGTAGTTTCAGATTTCACCAGGGAACTGCTGAGGTTGCAAACTAACAACACTCAAGCAGCCAATGGAGAGGCCCACGTGACCAGGAACAGGACCTACTGCCAGCAGCCATGTGCGTGAACCATCCTGGAAGTGGATTTTCCAGTCCAAGGATTGGTAAACGTTTTCAGTAAAGAATCAGAGAGTAAATATTTGAGGAATTTGGGCCTTGCAGTCTCTATCAAAACGACTCATTTCTGCTGTTGTAGTGCAAAAGCAGCCATGGAGAGTATGTAAATGAGAGAGGTTGTGTTTCAATAAAACTTTATTTACAAAAACAAGCAGTGGGCCATATTTGGCTTATGGACCATAGTTGGTTATCCCCTCCTTAAGGCCTCCTAGTCAAGCCATCAGATGACTATAGCCCCTGCCCACATCCTGACTACAGCTTCATGAGAGGCTCCAAGCCAGAGCCACCCAGCTGCTTCCAAATTCCTGCCCCAGAGAAAGTGTGAGATAATAAATGTTTGTTTTCAGCCACTAAATTTGGGGGTATTTTGTTACACAATAATAGATAACTAGTGCACCCATAATCCAGGAAAGGAGGCTGGGTGACAGATGAACCGAGTTGAACTACGAGTTGGTCATTGTTGAAGCTAGGTGATGGGTAGATACATGGGAGTTTGTTATATTAGCCTCTCTACTTTTATGTAATAAGTTGAAAGGAAAAAAGAAACCGTTAAATGATTTGTCTAAAACCAGACCATTGATAAATCACAAAGTCCTGTCCGCATATCCAGGTCTCTAGCTCTGAAGTCCCACGTTCTCCTGGCTCCCTCTTCCCGCATAAATAGCAACCAGTAAAGATGTAGCCATCTGCCTGCGTTTCCTCCTCTGCTCTCCACCTTAGTGCCTCCAACGTCACTCAAGATGGTTCTTTGGACACCATTGCTGTTGCTGAACCATCCTGGAGGCCTTTCTCCTTTCTACTGTAGACTGTGCCATCAGTCATTGCTGAGAGATGGAGCCTTGTTCAACGATCTACAGAGTCCTGCCTCAGTGTGGCCTGGATCTCATAATACTTACTCTTGACGTTCTTACTGAACCCTGGAGTCAACAAAGTCCTAGCAAAGCCATCATCTTAACAAATCCTTACACAGCCTCTGAGGAGATGCCTGGTGGGTTTCCCTCCAGCGTTTCGTCGAGGAGGAAGTAGACTCAGAAAGTTTGAGCGCCCAGCCAAGTGAATGTAGCAGGGCGCAGGACCTGGCTCCGGGTCAGTGTTTCTTCCTCCCTGAACTCCCTCTCCCATGCTTCAGGAGAATCAGGTAGAATTTGACATTAATAAAATGGTCACCGTGTGAAAGCACCTAGCACAGTGCTGGCATGTAGTGAGTTCACCTTCTCTTCAGAACCCCTTCGAGATTGGAAATCACCCTGAAAGGGTTTAAACTGACAATACAAAAAACGTAACGTATTGATCGTTGGGTACCTGAAATGGATGTTTGAACAAGCTGTCTTGTGATCCATTGCGTGGACTGCGTGGTGAGTGAGTTGGATTCAGAGAACGGGCCTGGATTGTTCTGCCCCTGTCGTTCCCCAGAACCATGAAATGAGACTTGGTGTTGGATTTGGGGCATCGCATGCTTCCTATGGCTGCCCTTGGTGAATGCCATTTGCAAATGAGATGAAATGATGTGAACGGGTGAAGAAAGGGTTGGGGCCAAAGAGCAGGTTAGCAGACCTGATGTGGTGCCATTGGATCCTGAGATTCAGTTCAGAAGTACATCATCATCCCTCTCCTTTGTCCTTCAAAAATCTGTTTAATGCGGTGTTCGCCTCTCCTAAACTTGTGGCTGGGAGGAAATGAATCTTCCCCTCATAAATTTTTTAGTTTTTATTTCTTAATTTTCTTATTGGTGGCTATCCTTTTAGAGTCTGTAAGGCAGTTATTATCTGCTGGGACACTGTATTATAAAGGCTCTACCTTTAAATTCTTGCCTACCCCCCACCCCCATGAAAAAAAAATTGGAAACAAATCTCTTATTTATTATTTGGAAAATAAATGGATCTCAAGGTTGTCTTCACTTCTTCATGCAAGTTGCTCAAAGCAATGTTTGTGTGGGAAGATTTGCAGGCTATTTTGTTTGAGTTGTCTTGGAATGAAGTGATAGGCACATTTTTAATTTGTACGTCTGGTTTCCGTCACCGGCATGAGGGAAGCTGATCTGCCAGATGCCTGGAGAACGCAGCTCCAGCCGCGTCTCCTTCCACGTGTGATGGATATTGTTTTGATTGGAGACAGAACAAATCCAGATTGTTTTCTTTGACTTCTTGGACTAATGGGTTCACTTATTGTTAATGTATGTTGTAGAAAACCATTTCCAAAAGCATCAATCTGGGTTATTTAAATTTTCCTCAGGATAGCTGTGCACAAATCATCTCTGTGAAAATGATGTGTGGTGAAACAATTACAATCGGAGAAAGTCGCTAAGGAATTGTCATTTTTCTTCACAGTCTGTACCAAAACATTGGCCTTAAGTGAAGCATCCTGGTTCTCTGAGCAGGAAGGGTGGTTTGCTTGCCTGGGGTTGGGAGGAGGGGTAAAAGAAGAGCTTTTGGGGTCAGGTATACATGTGTCAGGAATCCCAGCTTCACTGTTACTAAGTGACCCTGGGCCTCAGTTTCTTCCTCTGTAAAGTGGCACAATAACAAACAATCACACAGGGGGAGCGAGTAGAGTCGAGCACAGACTAACAACTCAGTTTGTGGCTTTTCCACCATTTTCCACTGTAGAGCAAATGGGTATAAATAACAATTTTTAGTTGAGTGCAACAACTTCTTGCCCATTAGGAGATAAAATCGGTATCTCCTCCTTGGAAATAGCTGGTTGTCTTCGTGTCCCCTTGGGGATCTGGCCGAAGAGAAGGATCTGCCCACTCTGGAGCTTTACCTGCTGTCTGGCAATGAGCGCGCTCAGATCCCTCCGGCCGTGAGTCCCTAAAAATAGTTGCAGTCCAGCTATATTTTAACCCAAACCAGGTCATCTTGAAATGCTAATCAACCCAGACTCATTTGGATTTCAAATGGATTTCTGGAAGCGAAGAGCGGCGTCGGGCAATGGGCAGTGGCCTTCCTTCAGAAGTTACAGCGGGGCTCTCGCTGGACAGTTCGTCTGGAGCGCACGCTTCAAAGGATCAGTCTTTGCTCTTTTGGTGACAGAATTCACTGCGCAGTAAATTTGAAATAAATGAGAGAGCATAGATTTTCTAAGAATAATGCTGTGAGTTCAACGTGATAGATCTGAGCTTCTGTTCTACATGCGTACACGTAGTACGAATCTGTGTGTACGGCAGACGCCCCCCCGCCCCCCTCCACTCCCCGTCTCCAGCTCTCCTGTTTTTCTCTCTCAAGGATGGAAAAGGTCTAAGGGCAGAGTGGCTATTCTCTGAATTTGATGTTATCCCACTGCCCTCTGTTTAACCTCTGTTCTCTGTGCTTTTGTTACTATTTGCATCCTCATTTTTTGTTTGTTTCATTTCCTTTAAGCAAATTATCTTGCTTTTCTTCTGTTTACCTTTATAGATGCTCATGCATCTCTTTTTATTCTGATGGTTCCGTCTTCCAGTCTCCAAAGTACGTGGTCTCCACCCTTCCCCGGACGGCTGCATGCCTGCTTGGGAAGCTCTTTGTGGAGATGACGTCCCTCTCTTAATGGTGGGGGGTGGTCCTTGGGGGCTTTAGAGCCCTCCCATCTGAGCTGCCAGTGGCCTGTGCTGGCCAGGCCTGCATGGTAGAGCCCTCCCAGTACGGCGGTCCCTGTAGGGCCCGGGAGACGGAGGCTACCTTCCTGGTAGCGGCCCTGCTGTCGGGGGTGCAGCCTGCAGCCAGCTGAACGCAGTTCCCTCCAGAGCCGGCTCGCCTCCCCGACGCTCACAGACCCGCTCACTTCTAAGTGCTGCCACAGCAGATGGCAAACAAGGAGCCCCCTAAATTGCACTGGAATGCAATTGCACGTGCATCCTAGGGGAGGAAACTTTCCACCTCTCCTGTGGACCTTCGAGGACTTAGGCAGAGAGGACGGGGAGGAACAGGAAACAAGGCGGAGCATCTGAGAGCTCTGACGGAAGCTGCCTCCCGCCTCGGGCCAGGACTGTTTTGTTCCCGAGTTCAGGCCTTTTTACGGCTCTCCTACAGCAAAGATTTCGTTTGAGATCACGGTGCACATAATTTTCATTGTTCAAACAAGGCAGGGAATAAAGACGGTGGTTTGCCATTTGTATGGTTTCCTTCATTTGATCAAAAAAGAACATTCTAACTGGCTGCGAGGTCCCAAGGCTTAGACAGCCCCAGCTGGAGAGACGCGCAGCTGACGCGGAAGTGCGAGCGCGTTCTAGAACGGGGCGGCGGCAGCGCGTGGGGCTGGCTGTGCGTGGGGTACTGCCCACTGCGCCGGGCTTCTGTGCCGTTGTCGGCAGCCGTGCCTGGGATGGCGGGAAGCCCCCAGGAGTCTGGCCATCGTACCAGCCATTGTATCCACATTCTCTTAAAACTGCATCGGCACTGGCCACTGGGTGTGACGCTCTGAGGTACCCAGCACCCCTAGGCTCTGCCAGATTCTCTTTTAAATCAAGTGGACTTGGTTAGACATGCTTACGTGGTTAGGTTAGAAGTCCAGTGGAGGGCAGAGTGGATTTGGTGTTCACTGATGTTAGTTGATGCCCGGTTGTTTTCCATCCAGAGCTGTAGGAATCGTATCTAAGCCATCCGATGTCCTGTGACAGCCCAGTGCCCCTGCTGTCTTGCGCGTTCGTTACAAATGCACACACATATCTTCCCTTCCTGGGATGTGGGCCCGTTCTATCGAGACGCAGGATGCTCAAATCCGACAGCTTATCTGTAGACAGAAAAAAAAACCTAAGTTCTCGTGAGTTCGTGACATCTTAACACAGCGGCAGTCTCAGGAAGAAGTGACGGCTTAGCACAGAGCTAATCCCCTTGACGCCGATTTTTCTGAGCAACAGTGGCTCCAAAATGCAGTGGTGTCTGAGTCTTAAAATACAGACTGAGGGGTCTTTAAATGGTCCTCCATTAGGCTGGAGACCATCTGCTTGTTTGCAGCCAAAGTATAAATTTTCCACTGCTCTGAGCTCCGAGACGATGGCTCCCCTCCCCCGCGGAAGCTCCGCCAGCCGCTCCGCAAGGCTCTTCCTCGGGTCCACGGATCTGACTGAGGAGCAAGGGGCCCAAGGAAAATAGAACGTCTTTTCAGAACTGAGCTCCGTCCTCTAATCTCCTCCTGGGTTTCACAGGATTAAGCCTCCTTTAATCTGCCCCCATCGAGTACCCATTTGCATTCGGACACTCAGTGGTGAGTCAGCTGTAAGACCCTTGTCAACACCATGCTTTTGAAGGGATGTAAATAAAGCAGGGAGGCCAGTCTCTGCGACAGGAAAATCACTGCACAGACGCGTACTTGAGTGTGGCCCCCCGTGGGCTGTGCCTCCCTCTGACCCTTAGGGCCGTCCGTTCTGAATTAACATGGTAGTCAGACTGTGTCTGCCTGTCCGGTTTTCCGCCTCCCTCCTGCAGCATCCCTACTTTTAAGTGTAACAGCGAATCAAAACACTTACTGCCCAAGGCTATAGACATAATGGTGGAGGAAGTAATTGGTCTTCAGTGCACACGCAGAAAGGTGTACCCATGCCAGCAACTCGCCGCAGAGCCTCATGAGGGCATCACAGGCAAACCAGCAAGGAAGGGTTTGGCTTCTGTTTGCCCTGTTACCAGAACTGCAGCCGCGTATTCACCTTTCAGAGAAGTTACTCTTCAGACCACGTGCAACTGTAGTCCCCACCTGGAAACAGAAAACATCTTTTGCACAAATCGAGCACTGTGGCACCCCCAGTGTGTCTCCTGCACGGGGGGGCAGCGAGAGGAAGCAGTGGGTGGACTGGGCTTGGTATCGGCACCTTCTTACTAGACATGTAACTGCACAGTGTGGATCGAAAGGCACTTAGGGTCCTCAGAGCACATCAACATCGTTACTGTGCTGCCGCCTTAGAACGGTGTTGTTTTTAAAGACAATATAAATAAAGAGGGACTCACAATGTTCGAGGCATAAAAATGTCCATTACAATCTAGTTAATGGTACTCAAATAGCACTGCCCTGCAAAAGCAGACATGGGGCCAGCAAGCACATTTTAGTATTTTAAAATAAAAATTTTTAAATGACAGTAATAGGACATATTTAAAATCACTTAGAGGAAAACTCTTTTTGCAACAATTTAGTAAAATAGAGTTGAAAAGGGAAATGTGTGAGTTTTTGTTAACGCAACGTTGACCCAGGTGTGAAATATAAAGCAGATGGGTTAGTTTTTATCTTACAATTTAGTAGTGTAATACACATATGCTTTTGACTTTTTTGATTGTAATTGTTCTTTTACCGTTTATTAAAAATAACTGCTGAAATTCATCCCATTTCGCTGCAGTGATGAGTTATAAGTAACGTGAACTGCATTTTGTATCTGGAGAAACGAGATTCTGGGAGATATAGGTGCTTGGCCATGGGGGAGGGAGGAATGACTCCCTTTGCTGGACGTGGACCTGGCATGGCGGTGGCGGTGTGTGTGCCAACCAGCTCACCGGATACCGTTGAATATCCCTAGTGAACGTGACCTGAAAGCGAGGCTGGTGTTGCACAGAGATGGTGACTG